AAGAAGGAGTTCGAACAACAGTTGGATATTGTCGGGAGATTCGGACGCCACCCTAATGTCATGCCACTTAGAGCTTATTACTATTCCAAAGATGAGAAACTTTTGGTTTACAATTATATGCCAGGAGGCAGCTTGTTTTTCTTGTTGCATGGTAAGTTTTTCTAATTTTAAGCTAGATCACACATGCATGCATTCACCTATGTCATTTGTAGTGTATACATAAGCATTTATATGATAAGAGCTTATGTTATAAGCGCTTATTTAAGCGTTTTATCGAAACAGGGTCGAATTGTGTTGACACATGCATGCATGCATTTGTAATGTATGCTATAATATATCTTTGCTTAATTGCATTGCATGATTGTATCACTCCAAACAATAGGAAACAAAGGTGCAGGAAGAACACCATTTGATTGGGATTCAAGAGTAAAAGTCGCACTCGGAACAGCTAAAGGAATTGCTTTCATTCACTCAGAAGGAGGTTCAAAATTTACACACGGAAACATAAAATCAACAAATGTACTAATAACACAAGAATTCGATAGCTGCATTTCCGATGTTGGACTACCTCCTCTGATGAACGCGCCAGCAACAATGTCTAGAGCGAATGGATATAGAGCACCAGAAGTAACCGATTCCAAGAAGATCACACAGAAGTCCGACGTATACAGCTTCGGCGTGCTGCTACTTGAAATGCTAACAGGAAAGACTCCGCTTAGATATCCCGGTCATGAAGACGTTGTCGATCTTCCAAGATGGGTTAAGTCCGTTGTGAGAGAGGAATGGACAGCTGAAGTATTTGATGAAGAACTTCTTCGAGGACAATATGTTGAAGAGGAAATGGTTCAGATGCTTCAGATTGGACTTGCGTGTGTCGGCAAGACGCCGGATATGAGGCCGAGAATGGATGAAGCTGTTAGAATGATAGAGGAAATTAAACATCCTGAGTTTAAGAACAGAACATCCTCGGAGTCTGAATATTCTAATCTGCAAACACCATAAGATAACTCACTCTTTTGCTTCTGTCAACAGATATATGCTCAACCAATAATAAGCAATTCTTGTTTGTAAAATAGTACTACTAATCTTTGTTTTCAAGTTGGTAGTAAAAGTTTTCATGTATCAACTTATTTGTTACGTTTTGAAACTTTTGGCTGATTGTTGTTTTGTCAATGAAAATAGTTCAAGCTTAATTATTATTGCATTGCAGACCACAGAATCTCGTAACTTGGGTTCTTCAAGGTATTAATTACATGTTTTAAATACAAGTCGTTGCGTTGGAGTGTGAATCAATTACAATTTTTTTTTTTATCATAAAAATAAATAACGGTATTACTTTCAATATTTTTTAATACTGATTTCTCGCGGCGGTTTTCAATAACTAATATTTTTTAAAATGAGTGATATGTTTTATTCTTGTATATATAATATTTTTTACCGAAGCGCGCATCTTTGCACTAACATTTAAAATGTCACATCACCCGATATTAGATTCCAACTCATTTTCACTTTTTAATAGATTAAACTAAAGGACATAAATTCAAACTAAAAGGCAAAAATATTTTAACCTAACATTTAGATACTAATTTTGATATATATTATTTTTATAAAAATTATAAAATATTAGTATGTGGTAATAAATTTTTTAATTATGAAATTGAATATATTTTTTTGATATATGTTTAAAATAACTTTGAGAGATAATTAAAGTTACAAAATTAAATTCAGGATGTTACTATCAACTTACAAATTATAATTTTCTTTTTAAGTAAAATATATTTTAAATGTGATTAATTCATATTATTATCTCGATTATAATTACAATAAATTATTATAATATAAATTTATTGGTTTTTTTTTTGTAAATTAAAATTAAAATAATTAAATTTTATTATCTGTTTCGCTCAGGAATCAGAAATGGATGTGATTGATGAACCACATGTCATGAATTGATGGTGCCGATCTTCGTCACGACAGCTCAGAGTGCAGTTACATGGTTAGTCCTCCGACGCCTAAGTCAGTTCAAGATTCAAGATGAGTATAATGAAAAATGGAGATCAAAGAATGTATATTGCTTTCCATGTGAACTGACTTTTATATCTTGGGTCAAGTGGAGTGGATTTGAGACGAGATGAGCCTTAGCTATTTGAGCCTTTGGCTGACTCAGAATTGTTGCCCTCAAGGCTTTGTCGGGCACTGAGTGAGTCAGAGAAGCCTTTAGTGATTTGGTCGGTCTTCTGGATGTTGTCCAATGTGAGCTAGAACTGAAAAGTTTGGAGTTAGTTAAAAGAATAGTGGGTAACAAGCGCACTAAATATAGTTTTATTATTGAAATGTTTCAAAGCTTTCATCTGACACATGTGGTGATGTGACAAGTTAGGATATGGAGAGGCTTATAGTGTACTTAAGTGCACTCGAGTTTGCATGTCTTCCCAAGGAGAAATATAGATGTTGATCTATTAACCCCTTTTCTTAATTGATTTGGATCGCTCACCCGCCTTCGCCTATAAGTAGGGAGAATTGAGAGTTTTAGAAACTTTTTGTAATCCTTGTCATTCGAGTTCGTTCATACTCACTGTCTTACCAAACACATTCATTTATTCTTTCCTGAGAGCCTTAATCTGAACGGTTGCAGTTCTTTAATTAAAATCTCCACTTTCTTCGTTCACTATGCTTCATCAATCTCACACCTCAAGTACCTCTATGAACTCAAACTTTTTCTTCAACATTTCCAGTTTTCTAGTTAAGATGAGCAATATTATAGTTAACTTAGCGAGCAGTTCTGATGGTGAAACTTCTTTTACCTTGAGAATGGGGACATCCCCTGACTCTCATCTCCCCCTCTTAATCATGATCGCATGGAACCAGAAGTCATACCTTTATTTGACGATTCTCACTTAACAATGGGATCTGAGGACTCCTTGGAGCAAGGAGCTTCTTCGTCCGACTCATTAAAAGCACTTTTATCAAGTGTCGGCGGAGAGGATAATTATGTCGTGGTTCCTATGCCCCCTGTATCTCAACTTACAGAGGAGAGAGCATGCTAAAATATATATTCAGCTTTGTCTGAAGACCAATAACTGTGAACCCAGTGACACTGGCGTGAGGCCTACATAAACCTTTGAGATCAATCATATGCAGCGGAGCACAATTGGGTGGACGTAGGAGTGATGGGTGCTCCATCCGTTTTGAGTATTGGGGTCATTACATAGGTTACTAGCATCATGATCGGTGATCCTCTAAACTGGTTGACTCTTCTAGTGAGTCTAGAGAAGAGGATATGTAGTTCATTGACAGATGCGTAGTCCCTTTCTATGAGTTCCAATTCACAAGGATAAGACTGATGTTACCTTTCTCCGACTCCGTAGTGGTTATCCTAAAACATTCAAAAGTTGCTCCTTCTCAGCTTTATCCGAGGTCATGGACTTACATGAAGGTATACCAGTTATGTGGCGAACATAAATCTTGGAAACCTTCCTTTGGATTGTTCCTTAATTTGTTCCATCTGAAGCATTCCTCTTAGGACAAAATTCGTGACCAAGGGCTCATTAGTTTGGACAATCCTTGGTTCGACCCTTTCACCTAGGACCGGGGTGATTTTTTAGTGCGCTTTTTGCTGGCGAGGCCTGTGATGCCTAATTCCTATTTCAGTTTATGATACTCCCCCGTCGAGTCTTCTTTCTTTTATAGGAGTTCATTTCTAAACTATTAATCTTCATCTCACTTCAACCGGGACATTCATTACTACCACACCAGGCTGGGTCCTCTCTCTTTTGACGAGACATCAATGAAGGAAGACCTGTATTCTTGGTTTTAGAGGCTCGATTATGAGGAATGATTTGGCCCTTGTGAGGCGCCCCTTACTGACGTGAGTAAAAGGTGAGTTGACACTTACACCATTGTGACTTCGGTCAACCGGGGAGAAAAGAAAGAGATTTTTGGTGAGGATAAAGTCTTATAGTTTTTATTTGACATGTGTGATTTCATTTGCATATAACATAGAGAAGTTGAAGATGTTATATGATCTTGTCGATGCCCAAATCATCAATGTTGACTCTTCTGGTTGGGCTTTAGCGCCCTCCTAAGATTATTTCTCCTGCTCTGTCTTTTTCTCCCAGTTTAATTGCAGAGACTTCTACCGATGTTCCTGAGGTCGGCCGGCTTATGGCTCCTACAACCACTTTGACTATGGAATATGCGCCTTCATCACTAATTCCAACCAATAAGGGTCGTGATGAAGATCAATCCCCTCTGAGGAAATATCTCCTAAGCGGACTCGTTTTTTTGGGTTGATGCTTTAGGGGAGATAACTCCCCTTTTGCGGATGTCCGACATTTTCTTGTCCCAACTTTCCCACAAACATGAGGAGGTCACTTCTACTGTGTAGACGCTAGAATTTCCCTTTATCCAGAATCTCTCTGAGGGGCAGAAGGTGGAACTTGTTTATGAGGTCACCCTTAGGATTTCTCAATGGTTCGGGAAAATTCGAATCAAACCAGAATCCAAACCAAACCATAGTGTTTGGGTCAAGCATTTTTTAGTTCGGACAAAAACCGAACTAAACCAAGTAGAACCGGTGTTAATTTGTTTGGGCCACACAATTCTAAAATTTTACTCACGAGTTCGTCTACCTGAACCAAATATATTAATTTATATAATTTATATTGTCATTATCATAGAAACTAGTATAACATATTCAACTTCAAGAAGAAGAAAAAAAACTGAAACTCCATTTGTTACATTCACAATCTATATGGAAAAATGAATTTTATTTTATTTTATAATATTACAGAAAATTAGTTATGTAAATTATATATTTTTGTAATGTTTATAATGTATCCAATCAATCCAACTCAAACCAATCAATTATTTCCCAGTTTGGTTCGGTTTGAGTTTTATCTAAAAAATGTGAAAATCCAATACAAATCAATCCATATATTTTTGATCGGTATGGGCATATGATTCTCTCAAAATTGAACCAAATAGGATCGTGAACACCCCTAGTCACCCATATCATATACATGGCTGCCTCTCTGTTCTCCCTCGTCGCTGCTGGCAGATGAGATGTCTTGATTCTTGGAAATTCCTCCTAGGAAAGGGACACTTGGAAGGAGAAATGCAAAACTATGGAGTGGAAGTACCCTACTCTTCATAAGGATTTGGCTAAGTTGCAGAAGAAGGTCATGGAAGCCGATTCTCTGTGAGAGGAGGTGAAGGCCTATGGATCCCCCTTCTACTATGGATGCCCAGATAACTGAGTTGGAGGCTGCTCTTAAGGAGAAGGATAAATGTCTTCAAGTTACCTTTGATGCTGCTACAAAGAAGGCCTGTTAGGTGGAGGAGGATAAAAAATTTCTTTGTCAAGAGGTCGGGGATCGTGTGAAGGCCCTGAAGACTCTTAAAGATGAATTTGTTGGCCTAAGGGTGGAGCTTCAAGATTCTCTCCAGCGGACCATGTAAGTCGTGTTTGGGGTTCGTGACCAGGTTATGGAACAAATAAAGAGGTTTTGCCCTACTGTCGAAATTTCTATTGCAGAGTTGAACCTTTTCCAGGATGCTCCCGAGGGGGTTCAATATGGTGGTTCCAATACCTCGGCCCCAAATACTTCGACTTGATCATTTCTTTTGATTTGTAGCGGTGAAAAGTTAAGATTAAGCTATTTATTAACTTAACTCATAAAGTGAAAGTCACCACCACACTTTATTGTTTTCAAAGGAATGAGAAAAGAACGAATAAAACCCATAAAAGTTTTTAAAGCAAAAACTAATAATAATGAGATAGGTAAGAGGGTTGGCTATGCAAAGAGAATGTATTAGCAGCCTACACATCTATGGTACTCCGCAAGAACCTCTTTGAAAATTTGTGTATTTGCCTAAAAAAGAGTTGTTTGCAAAAAGTTTATGGAGATGAGAAAAGAAATATTTTTTAAGGTTTTTGATCCGGCAAGAATTCAATGCGCCATGTGCTTACGTATCACCAGTGTGCAATAATGAAATCAGAGCCACGTAGTTCTTCTAAAAAAGAACAAAATTGTTTGTTGGTTAATTTTAAATAAAGATACATTTTATCATCTTAAGGAGAATACTCAACTAATCCACCATGAACATGAGAAAGGTGGATATTTGTATCACAAGTGAAAGGAGGGATCCAACCTAGATAAATCAATAGGGATGCCACTGACGCTTCAAATTGGAAAAGATTCAACACCAACATAAACCAATATCATGGAGATAAGAGGATTACAATTCAACTTCAAAGATGACTAGCGTCTAGTCTTAAGAAAAGGTTTTAAATCAAAAAGCCAAAATGGTAAAAGGTATGGATGAATTTTTGTATTTTTTAATCTTTTAAGAAAAGAGTTTAACTTGGATTAAATGAATTAAGGTTTGATTAAGGAAAATGATTTGAAAATTCACTTGACAAAGTCACGGTTTTTATTGAAAGTGGTTTAAGTTTGAAAACAATAAGGTTTTGAAAAGGAGGGAGAAGATTTGAAAATTAAAAAAGATGGACAAGAGATGAAGGGACTATCCTAAAGCATAAGGTAAAAGATAAGGTAGGAAATGTCTAATCAAACAAGAACAATCATCTTGACACAAGTTAAATAATGCATCACATTACTTTGGATTAAATCCACACAAAGAAGTAATAAGCATCAAATGAATAATAGTACCTCAGGTGTAAACTTTGTATCAAATGAATCTAAAAAGGTACAGATGACTTGACACATATTAGATGAATTTGATGTCTCAGATAAATTTTCAAAGTAACACATGCACACATAAAATTTCCCAATACACAGACAAAATAACAACAAAGATCTCAAGGTCCAAAGGTCTCAGAGTCTCAAGATCCTATCTCTGGTCCAAAAATTCCAAATACTCCAAGATACAAAGGGATAGTAACCATAGTTTAAAGAATGCCTTAAGTCTTTTAGTTTTCAAGTTGACTATTAATGTTTTGAAAAAAAAGAAAGCTCAAGTGAGCAATGGAAAAATAACATAAAAATAAAATGCTCAAGTGAGCAAAGGAAGAATGATATAAAAGATAAAATGCTCAAGTGAGTAAAGAAAATATGACATAAAAGTAAAATGCTCAAGTGAGCAAAAGGAAAATGACATAAAGTAAAGAGCAATAAGATAAATGACAAGAATGATAAAGATGCTAAAATAAAGAGCAATAAAATAAATGTATAAAGTAAATGACGGAATTTAAATTGCATTAAAGTAAAATTTAGTACAATAAGTATTAGAGTTAGTATGCTAGCTCTCTGATTCAGAACAAATTTAGCATTATGTTTAGAAATCACAGACGAACTTATGTAGAAGTTAATACTATACGAGGCCAGTCAATAACAATGTATGTACCATACATGTTAGAGATATGATAGAAACCATACTAATAAAACATGTAGCACAAGTAAAACAAACGTGTATCAAGACCAAAGTCGAGGAGATGAGATCATTACATCAATCAAATCCTTCATAATATCTTAGGACAAACTTTCACTAATCCAAAGTGCCTTGAGTGATCAATTGATCACTTAGAGGTAAATTTGAAATGATGAAAGTTCATAAAGTACCAATCCAAATTCAACTGAACAAAGATGAATCAATCATCATCCAATTGATCAAAAAGAAAAAGAAGAAGAAAGAGATGGAGCAGAGATAAGATGAACAAGTCAAAATAAAAATCCAAATTGAATTATGAATTATGTCTAATTTCATCAAAATCAATCATCCATTTTGGTGGATTTGAAATTTCAACCTATCAACACCCAAATTCCATTGATGTTGATGAAATTTATGACCTAACTGATCAAGATTCAAGCCAACCAAAATATACATCAATTAAAATAATTAATTAACAAAATATAATATATAAAATATTTTAAAACACTTTTAAAGAGAAAATAAAAGGTAAACTATAAAAGCATGATCAAAACATCAAATAAATCTCAAAGGAGATCATAATAAAATCAGAAAAACTATATAATATTTTTAGAAAAAGGTTTTAATAATTTTGAAATCCCTAAAAGTATTTTTATATTATTTAAATGCAAACAAATAGATCTAAAATGGATAAAAAATAATAAAACTAAAAATGAAAATCAAATAAAAATTATGATAGGTCAGAAACCACTATAGGATCATATAATAATTTTCTCAGAATTTAAAAAGTATTAAAAATATTTTAAAACCAATTAAAACTAAGCAAACAATAAAAAATCCATGAAAAATAGTAGAATAAAAAATAAAAAAAATAAAAATATGGATCATAAGAAGAAAAAGAGGAAAAAATTTAGAATTTTTTTTGGTATTTTTTGGAATTAAAATGAAAGAGTTCTTAATTTTTAAAGATAAAAACAATTTAAATCAAATAAAAGAAAGAAAGTTAAATAAAAAAAAGGGAGGCATCGGATCCTTGTCACTTAACTAGTGTGGCAAATCCAATGGTTCAGAGGTGTGGGTGCATGGTGGAAGTGAGTCAAAGTGCTGTTTACCGTGGTTTTTGGTAAACAATCGCTGATCCTCCAAAAAGGAAAGCCCTTTTGGTTACTCGCGGGATCGATCAGATTGATCCCAGAACATATGCTAATTTTTGTGCTGGTTTGATGTAAAAGTTAATATCTAGGAAGACCACACGTTCGACCGGGGAGTTGGTGTTTGTGGTTTTGGAAAGCAAATAGAAATGTAGATAAAATGCAGGAAACGTAAACTTTGCAAAAGAAGATCAAAGCAATGTAAAAGATTTGATTAATAAAAGGTGGTGTTTCCAACGTACATTCTCAGTTATTCTTTCACACACAACGGATACTTGAATAATGTTGAGTGACTAGTACAATAGATTGAACACACGAAAAATCTACACAAACTTCCTATCTTTATACTAAAATTATGTAACTGTCGAGGGGTTGCCTTGCTCTAGGATGAAGACAAGTGTCCTCTGCATTCCCCTCGACCTCTATCTTCCTGCCACGTCGCTTTCCCTTAACTTATAGGCGAAATGCATTTCCCTCCCTTCTTCAAATTCAAATATCCTTCGTATTTGATGCTGAGACGAGGGTTGTTCTTCTAGTCGAAGGTTACAGGACATTTTCAGTCGAAGGCTTGATGGCGATGTCTGGTCGAAGACCAATTTGTAACTCAGATATTTCTCTAAGTTTTTCCATCCGTCGAAGCATTTTCTAGCTTGGCTTCATTTGCTCTATATTTGGCCCATAAGGCCAATTTATCGTGGGTGTCCAATTTAAGAGCCAACAAATTGCCCCCCAAGAATGTCTATTTCGACGTCGAGAGAAATAGTCATTCTTTGATATTCCTATTCGACACCTGTCTCTTTTTTGTCCACAAAGGCTTAACGTGTACTTTTCGCCTTCCAACAGCTACCACACTTATAATCATCATTAATCTTTTCCCGAGACGTCGTTTCAATCAGCCGTTACCATGCTGCCATGATGGCCATTACTCCTAGAACCTAGGCAAGCATGTCAAACTTTCTCCATCACCTGCACGGTAACTGCTTCACTGCTTGCCACGTGCCCCACTACGTCTATAGCATTAAATGACCTTGACGAGAAACACTTCTACCTGAGCACTATAAATAGCATTGAACTCTCTCTTTTGGAACTTTCACAGCACTTAGCATTCTTCATCTCTTCTGCAGAAAAATACCTTATACCTTAGTGATTTTATCATCTTCGTTTCTCACCAACTCATAACAATGGTCTTCCTCTCCAATGCTCCAAACAACCCTAAGCCCAAGAATGTTTCTGACATACAGCGTCAACCAAATATTTTTCCCACAAGTTCTCCTCCTGCTTCAATTGAGGAGCTAAGGTTCATCTTCGAACCTATGACCAAAGAAAGGCGCGAAGCGTACAACTCCCAGCTCCTCATCCCCATCAGGTATTCTGGGGATATATATGCCATGTCTGGCCCTTTGTCTGCATGCATCGAAAATCCCACAAAAAATAGTGCTTTCTTCCCGACTCACCCTATGCTTAAGCCTATAGGCTGTGCAAAGAAACCCAGGAATGATCTTGAGGATGCAACCCCAGCCAATCATCAACATGCTCAGACGAAGGAAGATATTAATCTTTAGTTCATGAATAAAGGGAATAGGATCTTTCGATCGTGCCCTAGCCTTTCTTCAGAATATTCAGACTGGCTGAACAAAATGGAGAAGGTACAAACCCCAATCTAGAAAGAAATGGGGATCTATGACCTGGTGATATTGTCAAAGACAGGGTTATCCTACTGCCCTCTCATGTCAGTGTCTTCATTATACTTCTGGGACATCACCCATTTCACGTTTCATCTTCCTTGTGGAATGGTGACCCCGGCCCTTTTTGATATAGCAACAATTACCGGTCTTCGATAATCAATGCCCACCAATATATATTTTTGGCTTTTAGAGGATGCTGGTCGAATTTCTCCAATAAGATCTAAAGCCCATCCTCTAAAAGGCCAAGGTTTCACAATCAAATGAAGTTCGCTTGCCGGTACATGTTGGATGCCTGTATGTACTTGACATTCTTGACATCCTTTTAAAAACTCAACACAATCTTTTAACATAGTGGGCCAATATAGTCCTTGTCGAAACAACAACCATTTCAT